AATGAGATGCCGGTGAACTGCTCCTAAACCGTAGTAAGGTGAGAAACAAACTTCTAGGGATTGTAGATTTCATCTCAAGTGAGAAGTGAGCTGTACAATATTCTTCTCTAATGTGCTCAAAATACAGTCTTAGGGAGTATTTCTCCCATAGTGTATGTATATGTGTATGTGTGTGTGTATGTATGAGTGTGTGTATGTGCGTGTGCATGTGTGTATGTGTGTGTGTGTGTGTGTGTATATATACACACACACACCATATATACTCAAATATAAGCCGACCCGAATATAAGCCGAGGCACCTAATTTGTCACAAAAAACTGGGAAAACATATTGACTCGAGTATAAGCCAAGGGTGAGAAATGCATCCACTATGGGTCAATTTCAAAATAAAATAGATACCAATAAAATTACATTAATTGAGGCATCAATAGGTTAAATGTTTCTGAATATTTACATAAAACTGTAATTTAAGATAAGACTGTCCAACTCTTATTAAACCATTATTCTAACCTCCTTCAATGTAAATGTACTTATTATTAAAATAATAAACATAATAAAATAATAGAGTAAAATAATGAAAATGCAATAAAAACAGTAATAATATAGTAAAATAATAAATGTAGTAATAATAGGATAAAATACTCTAAATGTAATAATAATAGAGCAAAACAATAAATAGAATAATAATAGAGCAAAATAATGTAAATATAATAATAATAGAGTAAAATAATAAATGTAATAAAATAATACTAATAGCAGAGTAAAAGAATAAATAACCTTGACTCGAGTATAAGCTGAGGGGAGTTTTTTCAGCCTAAAAAGGGGGCTGAAAAACTAGGCTTATACTCGAGTATATACAGTGTGTATATATATATATATATATATATATATATATATATATATATATATTCCCCACAATTTACAATGTTTCCCACAGTGGTACAATGAGTTAAACCCTTGTGTCATCAGGACTGATGACCAACAGGTCAGAGGTTCAAATCTGGAGAGACCAGGTTGAGCTCCCACTGTCATCTCCAGCTCCCTATGCGGTGACATGAGAGAAGCCTCTCACAAGGATGGTAAAATATCAAAACATCTGGGCGTCCCTGGGCGACGTCGATGCAGAAGGCCAATTCTCTCACACCAGAAGCGACTTGCAGTTTCTCAAGTCACTCCTGACATGAAAGAAGTGGGAAGAAGAGCAAACACTTGCCTCTTATCCTTCCGTGTAATTCTTTTTGAAGTCAACCCTATCATTAGGCAGAGTAAAGGGGGCCATTAGAAGTGGTTGATATTGGCTGATGCACTGCAGTACTGGTTGCACTTTTTTCAAGGGTTACACAACAGTGAGAGGAAAAGGCAGAGAATAACTGCAAATGCCAAGCAGCCTATTTCGTCAAGGCCTGAGTTCTTTCACAACTGCTGTGCCCACAACCTTTTTGGTATGCTTTTGTCATCATTTCTACCAGCGTCATGACACTGGCATAGTGAATTGACAGAATTCCTGTTAATGTATGTCACAAAAGGGAGAACGTGCTAGTTACTTTAGATTTCATTACTGGCAGTGACAAAGAAAGCTACGAGGATTTTTCTCCTCAAGTGATACAACTAACTTGCTTGGTTCACAGGATCGTGTACCTTGACTTGGGTAGTTGGTATCATTTACTACTCCACCTCAGGCCACAACATTATTTGGACTGGCTCTGCTGCTGCTCCTGTTGCCATCTCAACATCAGATGAAGAAAAGAAACAGGCAGGAGGCATGTCTTCTGGGATGGGACCGATAGGAAAATTGTAGAATTGAGTGTGGCAGTGTAAATTAATAGAATCTCTTCTCCCAAATCCTGATTATATTGTGAGAAAAATCCCATAGGTCTGATTTTTGTGTGCAGATGATCATGGATTACTCCCAAATCTATCTGAATCAAACTTCAGGTATTTTGCTAATCTTTTCTGTGGACAGAACTCTGATGGCAGGATGTTTTACTCTACTGTGGGTGGTTACATGAGCAAGATAGTCTGTATGTGGAAACATTTATCTGCACATCACCCACCTTTGCTGGCTTGAGACTGTTGCCTGCATATCAGCAGGTTAGTTGAACCTAAATTCGTTACAATCTTCATGTCAAACAAGAGTAGCTGGGCAGCAAAACAATGTTCTCTCCAAGGTGATCATATCCAAACTGGTGATCTGCAGATGTTTTGGACCATATTTCTCAGCTTCCTAACCATGATTCACATTGGCTCAAAATGACAAAATTAAGAAGTCCAAAACATAGGGAAGATAATGTTCTAGACAACAACAATCATGCTTATTTTAACTGTACTCTGCACTAGTACAAGTCCTATTTCACTAAATTTTAGAGTATACCTTATCTCACAACAGCATGTGGAAATACTGATGGCTTGGAGATCTAGATCCAAAACAGATTTTTGCAGGCCCACAAAATGTTCAGAGTAATGTTATGTTCATCTATGAAATGCATTATTCATTTTATAATATAATTTATGCAAACCATTACTAGTAGCAGCAATATGTGCCCTTAAGGACATTGATCAGAGGAAAGCTCCTCGGCATGGAAGATGGAGCAACAGCACCCTCTGTGGTCGAAATTGAGCATAGCCTCCAAGATGCCGGAAATAAGATGGGGAAAAACTGCCTTTGTCTCTGTTTGTGTTGTCTGTCCTTGTTAATTGTATAATCGGCATTGAATGTTTTCTGTATCTATGTTCTGTAAGCTGCTCTGAGTCCCCTTCGAGGTGAGAAGGGTAAGGTATAAATAGGTAAAGGTTTTCCCCTGACATTAAGTCCAGCTCATCTCCATTTTTAAGCTGAAGAGCCAGCATTGACCATAGACACATCCAAGGTCATGTGGCCAGCATAAATGCATGGAGCGCTGTTACCTTCCCGCCGGAGTGGTACCTATTGATCTACTCACATCTGCATGTTTTCAAACTGCTTGGTTGGCAGAAGCTGGGGCTAACAGCGGGAGCTCACCCCATTCCCTGGATTCAAACCGGTGACCTTTCAGTCATCCAGTTTTAGCAGTTCAACCGTTTAACCCACTGTGTCCCTGGGGGCACTTCCTAATTTTGGACTTCCTAATTTTGTCCTTTTGAGCCAACATGAATAAATATTGTAAATAAATAAATAATAGAATATAATAAAACCCATGAATTATTGCATGAAAGGCAGACCTTCGTGAATAAAAACAGGCTAGGAGAAAGCAATGTTGGTTGATTCTCACTTGGCATTTATTATCAGAGGTTTCCATATAGAGACAGTGGGATACAATCATTACCAGATTCATGTGGCACAAGTGATACCCAACATATGGCACAGGAAGAAGCTGTTCAAGGCATCTTGGCACAGAGGAAAGCCCTCCCAGGACCATACTGGCCTAACCTCTGTGCCTCTGTCATGGCCCCTTAAACTCTTCCATCACCCTGGAGCACAACACAGGGTTTCACTCACTCACCAAATCCCTTCCTGCCAACAAAAAAGGAAGCCTCCCTCTGAATTCAAGATGTTTTTAGAGTACTGATGATGTAGTTGAGTCACAGCAGAGTCTGTCTAGGCCAAGCATACAATTCAGGTTTCTACCTTAATAGTCTTCAGGTATTTACTTTCCACAGGATAAACCTCTCCCTGTTCAGAGGGGCATGAATAATTATTTCCTTGTGGCAAGAGGAGGAGGTATGTAGTGTTTGAGAAGTTGGAAGCATTTGAGGAGCTACAGTTTATTGCTGAAATTGGACTGGGACAGATTCCATTCCTGATTCAGATACCTGTTCATTGGGCAGCTTGGGACAGTCTTCTCTCTTTACCTTCCCATCGTGTTATACGGAATGATCCTGCGGGGACTCAGAGAAGTGGTGTCCAAAGCATTATATACACTAGAGGTGGGGTGAGGAACAGGAAGAAGGACATGCAACAAGAAAGCAACCTGTGCATGCAGGAAATTGGATGATGCTGCACAACGCCAGAGCTTAGTGGGAAAGGTAAAGCATTGCAGTGGGGTTTTTTTCCAAAAAGCATATCTATGCCCAACTTCAGGTTAGATTCCTCCTTTCTTTTCACCTTCTTTGCAAGAAAACAATGCAATAGTGATTTTTGACAGTGGGGTTGGAACTGTAGTGACTAGGGCTATATTAAATATTTACATACACACGTTCCCTGAAGATGCTTCTTGGCTGAACTGGGCCGAGCTAGTCACTACTTGCCAGTCCTTCCCAGTATCCCCGGAGCACCTTCAGTGTGTCCCACCTTCTGTTAGCCATGCACCCATTCTCCTCTAGCACCACTGAGTGCCCTGTAATCCAGAGCATTGGGTGTGTTTTATGATGCATAGCTGCCGTCTTGTGATCAGCAAGAGGCACACTTATGCCATTGCAGGTGCCCAGACTCTAAGTGTGTGTGTGGGGGGGGGGGGATGTAGGCACTTGCAGAGGCAGCTGCCCCATAGCACTGTGGGCATCAAATGCTCTAAGCACACAGCATGTCTTCAGCACCAGGGGCGTGACATGCAGAAAGCAGCAGACAAAGGCAATAGCTAAGATGACATGTCAGTGCAATGCTCAGGGGGAATTGGATGGTGCTACTTGGGGAGATAGTTATTACAGGATCCCAAACACACCAGTCCCCTCAGCCAGCCCCATCCCATCCCAGCACACTGTGCTGGATTCATCCTTGCTAAGCCGTTTGACATTTAGCAAGAAGAGATCACAATTAGGGATGATGGACCTACAGCTTGTGGTGGGGACAGAGCAAAGGCAATGACACATCTGGGCATCTGGAGTGGCACAATGTCACCAGGAGCCCATGGGAAGTGTCAGTGCCACAAGCTATCAAGGCTTAAGCCACAAGAAGTGGGATCCTTGGAGGAAGACGGTGACCCCCACCCAGGCAGAGGTCATGCTTTCCCTAAGAGCGGCATTTCCCTTACGAGTCATGGCAAACCCAAGGGTATTGAGATACTCCTTGCTGGCCTCCCACCCACCCACCCCGGGGTTGATCAGAAGCGGGTGCTCTGATAACGCAGTCGACGGATCTCGGAGACACCATCGTCCCGGCAGTACAAGTCCCTGCCGGGACTCTGTGCCAGTCACCGACCCCCGGCTCCCCCGCCTCCACCCCCAGCACTGCTGCTGGCGCTGCTGGAGCTTCCTGAACTGGAACTGCTGCAACGGTCCTCATAGATGGAGATCTCGATCTGTAGGCAGGAGGCTAAGGATATCCAGTAACAAAAGACTCTGAGAGCAGGTCCATCCTTCTCCATACATCCATATAGGAGGAATCCTCTCCAGGGCCCCCATTCCAGTAAACTTTTGGGGTTGTACTTGCCTCAGACCAAGGAGAGCCTAGATGTTGGACTCCTCCACCATTCTTTCCTATTTGTTATGCTTTATAGGGCTGTTGGGAGATGCAGTACAACAACAGCCAGATAAAGACATATACTTCACCCTCCTTAGAGCCAGAGGTTGACAAGGTTATACAGCTTAAGAAAATATGGTCAATAGCTTCTGAGAGATGCTGAGAGTTGAAAGCCAGAAGAGAAAAAATGTTTCCCACTGTCCTCAGAATTATCTCCACAGCATCCCTATAAGCACTGGAAATATGCTGAAAGGCTGAATATCACTTAATACATCTGTTAAAGTATGAAATCCACAAAAGCTTATTTGTGAAGCTTTCAGATGCCACCAGGATCTATTACTGCAGCAGAAAGACATAACTGCATTTCTAGGAAAGGACCACACTGGAGTTTTATCACATGCGTATAAGCTCATTTTATGAATCTCTTTCCATCTCCATTTCCTTTGGGGTCAGCATAAAAGGATACAACTCGCATGCCTCGTTCCACTGGGTCTGTCAGCAGTAACCCTCGTGGAGCATAAATTTTCTCATTCTGCTCTTGGATATACTTGGAAATCTTCTTCAATACCTGGGAAGGTAAGTAGACTACCATTTAGCAAATGATTGGCAAAGATCGTATTCAGTTAGAGAACCTAGAGAATAAGAGATACAAGATGGAAGAAAACTCCTCCAATGGCATCCTCTTGGGTTTCCTTGGAAATATTTCAGACTTTACTTCATGCATCCTGAAGAGATACATTTCAATGAGTGGATAAAGTTTTTATGCCACCTCAAGGCTACAAAAATGTGTTGAATTGTTTTGATATTCTGCCACTAAATATGCCCCAATCCGCCTATAATGAGTGGAATAATTTCACCATGTTTTGGCCCTGCAACCCAGGCCATTGTTGGCCCAGGAAATATTTTTTGAAAACAGGAAGTAACCAGAAGGTCAATTTGTGTATACTTCTTGTTAGGAAAAAATGCTGCACACCTTGATATATACACTTGCCTATGAGTAAGTCCCATTCAGATCAATAGGGTTCACTTTTCAATAGGCACATACAAAAGAATGGACCATTAGCCTTTCTCACATACCAGGTATGCAATTAAAGTAAATCTGTATCCAAAAAGTATAATGTATATGAAGGCTATTTATGGAAGCAAAGAGCAGTGGGTTTCAATCATGACCACAGAGATAATGTTAGCTGTTCTTAAGCAGAGCAGTTCTTTCCCCACCTTGTCAGAGGAGAGACTGGGAATTATTTCTGAAGGCTCTTCCAGATAGATCCTTTATTCCAGGATCTGACCCCAGGTTTTCTGCTTATCCCAGATCATCTGGCAGTGAGGACTCATATAATCCAGTTTAAAGCAGAAAACCTGGGACCAGATCCTGGGATAAAGGGCCTGTTTGGAAGGGCCCTGAGAAAGCTACAAAGGGGATAATAGTGCTCTTGCTTCTTATAGTATATACACATGTCTTGTCCAATTGTCAACTTTGATTGAGCAGGTATTCCTGATCTGAAAAAAAGTAGATATCAATGGAAGGAAACCTTCTACTTCCTTTGGATACCGTGGGCTAGAATGGCTGTACAAACCAACATTTGGAAAATTTACTCATTCCAAAAAGCATATACTACTTTAGAGTTATAGTCCAAACAAGTAACTTTCCCAAGCTCTAGTGCAATCCATGAATTGTGAATCTGTTAACTCTCAACAGATCAAATTTTAATCTCCCTGTTTCTCTCTAGCTCAAATGTACTAACAACATCCACTTTTAGAAGAAGGGAGGCAAGCTAGAAAAATCAAACTTTGGATCTGAATGCATTTCTCAGGTTACCACTTGTTTGGCCACAGGATAAATCTGTTGCCAGCTAATCGATTTTGCTTTGATTTCTCTGTTATTCACTGAAGCTACATGTCTTCCTTTTGTTACAGCCACTGTAACAAAAGAAATGTGTGCAGCTTCTGCAACTAGCAGGAAAATTAAAGCTTCAAAAAGGGGAAAAATCTCTTCAAAAGGCAAACACCAAGCATGTGAGTATACAGCATCTCAAATAAATACTTTAAGTTATAACACTAACTAATAGGACCTCATTTCCTGGAGACAGAATCCTAAAATATGAATATGTGTAGAATAGTTAACTACATATACCTTCCACTATGATGAAGCTGAAGACTGTCATGTTAAGAATATTGTAAAAGGAACAATTATCTAAAATGTGATAAGAACATATCAGAGAGTTCAGAAAATTGAGATTGATGATGTTTCCTAAATTAGGTAAATCATAATAGGGGAGCGGGGGAGGGAAAAGGAAAATATTCAAGGTTGCAGAATACATGACCTATATACATAGCAATGTTGAGGTTGGTTCATCTACCTGACATGCTGCATATTGGCCCATTTAATATATTACAACAACATTCACAACATCAATTGTTCTCCTTGCTCAATTGTGTCTGCCAAACCTTTTCATAATGGGTTTCCATGCAAAGGAAGATGAAATAGGCTGTCGCACAGGCCAGGCATCCCTCCAGATAAGAGCTGCCTCCAATTTTCTCAGCTTCTGCGTAAAAGTTGTTGAGGGTCTTTACTGTATCCTCAAAAAGGTGCCGTTCAATCTTTGGCCAGGAGAAAAAGAGAGAGAAAGAACATTGTAAGGGAGAGATGCAACAGGCCTTTGGTCTCCTCCTTCAGTCAGATATATCAAGACAGAGGAGTGACATTTACATGGAAAAGGAGAGCTTTAAGCAGTGCTTCTCAACCTTCCTAATGCCGTGCCCCCTTAATACAGTTCCTCATGTTGTGGTGACCCTCAACCATAAAATTATTTTTGTTGCTACTTCATAACTGTAATTTTGCTACTGTTATGAATCGTAATGTAAATATCTGATATGCAGGATGTATTTTCATTCACTGGACCAAATTTGGCACAAATACACAATACTCCCAAATTTGAATACTGGTGGGGTTGGGGAGGATTGATTTTGTCATTTGGGAGTTGTAGTTGCTGGGATTTATAGTTAACCTACAATCAAAGGGCACTTTTCCCCCAACTTGAAGGGACGCAAGCCTTCCTCCAGCCTCGCTTGCTCTCCCTCACCCACACATATGCACCACACTGCCATGTGCCGAGCACACCTGTTCCCCCCTCCTCGCTTGGAGTCTCAGAAACACCTCTTTCCTTTGGCTGAGAGGCCAGCTGAGAAGTCAGATAATCACAGCAGGAGGAGGGCTTTTGGTGGGAGGATTCACCCTCTGTTTCCAAAAAGGAAGAAAAGGACAGGTGGAGAGATCTTCAGCCTTCTCTGCCAAAGGGGTTCATAAGACCATCAGAAATATGTGTTTTGTGATGGTCTTTGGTGATCCCTCTGAAACCCCCTCACAACCCCCCCCCCCAGGGGTCCTGACCCCCAGGTTGAGAAACGCTGCTCTAGAGTGCCATCCATGTATACCTTGTGAATTAAAGGCCAATCCAAAGCATTCTGCTGCCCGAAGGCAGAACAATACGTGCATGGTAATGCAAATAAAGCAAATATAATAGTCTAGATGTGAACAATTTTCAGTTACTCACTCTTAACATTTGGTGAGGGAAGGAAAAAAAATTTCAGGAGCAAAATTCCTATTTGAAAAGACAATACCTCTTTGCCTTCACTCCATAGCTATACTTATTAATGGTTCCCCATTCCTATGACATATACAAAGTATTTAATACATTTTAAATACCCAAAACAAAGGAGAACAAAGGGAAAGGAGAACAGACCCCCAATGCTTGAGGGAAGAAAGGAAGATAACTGGAGAACAATAGTGGCTACAAACCACTGTCCTTTCTAACTTGTCACATTATTATTATTATTATTATTATTATTATTATTATTATTGCTGCAGCTGGCAGATGGTAATCTTTTCAGCGCCGATTGTGTTTAAGTGCAGGCCAAGGTCTCTGGGAGCAGTGCCTAAAGACCTTGGCCTGCACTTAAACACAATCGGCGCTGACAAGATTACCATCTGCCAGCTGCAAAAGGCCACCTTACTGGGATCTGAATGCATTATTCACCAATACATCACACAGTCCTAGACATTTGGGAAGTGTCCGATGTGTGATCCAATACAACAGCCAGCAGAGTATCTGCTGTGGACTCATCTTTTGATAATAGTAACAAAACAACAACAGCAACTTTATTTTTATACCCCACCATCATCTCCTCTAAGGGACTCAGGCAGCTTACATGGGACTAAATGTCCATAAGACAATAAACAAACAATCCATCAAACAAAAACACAATTTAAAAAAGAACATAATCAAATGGAGCATTTGTCCAGTTAAAAACAAAGTAAATAGACATAGAAGTATAAACCATCAGCATTAAAACTCCATCCAATCTATACTCAAATCCAGGAACCAGGCTGCTAAGATGGGCATTAGGCAACTATATCAGCCTACCTAGTGAGAGAGAAGTATATTTACTATATATTTTATATGTGGTGACCACAGCTGACAAGTTAAACGAAATCCACAAAAGAGACAAGTGTGATATTCCCAGGTCTGCTAAAAGATAGCCAAGTGTATTGTGAAACCAAGGTCTCCAAACAAATAGAGTAGCCTTCATCGATCCAATGTGTTGGATTTATTGCTCCCATGTGGTCTCTTCCAACTCTGTGATTCTATGATCATTCTGAGCCTTCACAAACAATTTGTGTTACGCTGATTAAGCCTTATTATATAATATGCCAGTGAGACTCTGAACCACAACAACCCTGTGAAACAACTGGCCATACCCGACTGTCCAGCTCTGGGGGAAATTTGGTTTGGAACTGGCAGATGGTCCCATCACTGTAATCCCGTTGTACAAAGACCTTGGTGGCCAAAGAAGCACTCCGCCGTAGTTCTTGGAGATTGTGGACCTGAATTTAAAAAACACAATGACAGTTGGTTATAACAGGCAAAAACATCATCCAGAACAGTGGAGGAACTGTACAGGGGTCCTTGTACCTGCTGATTATGTAGCCGTTACTTTTGGGATGTGTGTGGATTGGCATCACTTCACCATGTCTTCACCTCCAGTTTTCCACTGAGAGAAACCTGTTGATTCTCTCTCAGTCACAACAATTTCACACACTAGTACTCCTTTGGACAATTGTCCCAATAATGACTTCAAAAAAAAAAAAGAAAAAGAAAATGCAGAAAAGCAAATGGCATGTTCCTAGGAGCCCATGTTCTGCTAATTTCCTACTAGAATATAGTCTCCCTGAGGTTTTCCTTGAAGATATTTTAGAGGCGGCAGGTAGCATGGAAAGCAAGTATTGACAGAAACCATGGGAGGCAAGCTTTTTGCTTCTGTTCTAGTATCTCTGAACTGGCTGCCTATTTATTTATTTATTTATTTATTTATTTCATTCACTTATACCCCGCCCTTCTCACCCCGGGGGGGACTCAGGGCGGCTTACATAAAGGGCACAATTAGATGCCCAAAACACACAACAAGTAATCCAAAAGTATAAAATTCAACAGTTAAGTTAAACAACAATACATAATAAAAGCATAAATCCTAAAACAATTTCATGTCAGAGTTCATATATCAGAGTCCATACATCCGTTCTATTCCGTTTGTCATTGTCTGTCTCCGGTCCTTGATTTAGTTATCAGAGTGACCAAAAGCTTGGTCCCACATCCAGGTTTTTAGTTTTTTCCTAAATGCTAGGAGGGAAGTTCGCCGATCTAATCTCCCCGGGGAGTGCGTTCCACAGGCGGGGGGCCGCCACTGAGAAGGCCCTGCTCCTCGTCCCCGCCAGCCTCACTTGTGATACTGGCGGGGTCGAGAGCAGGGCCTCCCCAGAAGATCTTACTTCGAGGTGGGACGTAGAGGGAGATCCGTTCGGACAAATACACTGGGCCGGAACCGTATAGGGTTTTGTAGGTCAAAACCAGCACTTTGAATTGTGCTCGGAATTGGATCGGCAGCCAGTGGAGCTGACGCAACAGGGGGGTGGTATGCTCCCTGTACGCCGCTCCGGTGAGCAATCTGGCTGCTTCTCGCTGGACTAGTTGAAGTTTCCGAGCAGTCTTCAAAGGCAACCCCACGTAGAGTGCGTTGCAGTAATCCAACCGGGATGTGACAAGAGCGTGGACCACCGTGGCCAGATCCGACTTCCCAAGGTACGGGCGCAGCTGGCGCACAAGTTTTAATTGTGCAAAAGCTCTCCCGGCCACCGCTGAGACCTGGGGTTCCAGGCTCAGCGATGAGTCCAGGATCACTCCCAAGCTGCGAACCTGCGTCTTCAGGGGGAGTGTAACCCCATCTAACACAGGCTGTAACCCTATGCCCTGTTCGGCCTTACTGACCAGTAGGACCTCTGTCTTGTCTGGATTCAATTTCAATTTGTTAGCCCTCATCCAGTCCGACACAGCAGCCAAGCACCGGTTCAAGGCCTGAACAGCCTCCTTGGTGACAGGTGAGAAGGAGTGACAGATTTGGACATCATCTGCATAGAGATAACATCTTAGTCCGAAACTCCGAATGATCTCTCCCAGCGGCTTCATGTAGATGTTAAATAACATCGGGGACAAGATTGAACCCTGTGGGACTCCACACAACAACGGTTGTGGGGCCGAACAGGTGTCACCCAATAACACCTTCTGGGTCCGTCCCTCTAGGAAGGATCGGAGCCACCGCAAGGCAGTGCCACCGAGCCCCATATCCATGAGGCGACCCAGAAGGATACCGTGATCGACGGTATCGAAGGCCGCTGAGAGGTCCAGCAGAACCAACAGGGACACACTCCCCCTGTCTAGTTCCCTGCGCAGATCATCTACCAAGGCGACCAAGGCTGTCTCAGTTCCATGTCCCGGCCTAAAGCCAGACTGTGCTGGATCAAGATAATCAGTGTCTACCAGAAACCCCTGGAGTTGTGTTGCCACCACACGTTCCATGACTTTGCCCAAATAGGGGAGATTGGAAACTGGCCGATAAAATTAAACATGAGCAGAAATTAATAAAAATCAAATTAATTAGAGGGAAATGTAAAATTGTACATTTAAAACGAAAAACTAAATACACAAGTATAGGGTGGGAGACACCAGTTCAGTAATACGTCCTGAGAAAACAAAAAGGGAAGATTGGAAAGTTGTCCAATTTAGTGGGGTCCAGTGATGGTTTCTTCAACAGCGGTTTTATAATAGCCTGTTTTAGGCTCGCTGGAAACTCTCCTTTCTGTAAGGAGGTATTAACCATCACCTTCACCCACCCCGCCAAACCCCCTCTGGCTTCCTTGACCAGCCAGGAAGGGCAGGGGTCTAGGATGCATGTGGTGGGTCGCACCTCTCCAAGGATCCTGTCCACATCCTCAAGCTGAACCAATTGAAATGAATCCAACAAAACTGGACAAGCAGATGTTCTCGTTACATCCCCAGAGACTGCCGTTAACATGACGTCGAAGCCTGACAGAATCCGCTCAATTTTATCCGTGAAGAATCGAGCAAATGCTTCACAGCGGGCTACCGAGTTATCCGAGGCCTCGCATTTTGGCGGATTTAACAGGCCCCTGACAACTCGGAAAAGCTCCGCTGGACGATTCTTCGCTGATGCAATATTGGCTGTGGTGAATGTTTTCTGAGCTGCCGCTATTGCCACACCGTAGGACCTTAAAAAGGCATTCAGGTGTGTTTGGGCTGGATTGGTGGGATTCTGGCGCCTATAAGCCATTGGGCTCTTTTTAAGTTGTTGTCTGTTGTTATGTCCCTTCAAGACATTTCCCACTTAAGATGACCTTAAGGTGTTTTCTGAAGTTAAGAGTACATGACGTGCCCAAGATCACCCAGTGAGTTTTCATGGCTGACAAAGGATTTGAACTCTGTTCTCCAGCCATAGCCCAACATACAACCCACTACATCAGCGTTTCTCAACCTGGGGGTCGGGACCCCTGTGGGGGTCAAGAGGGGGGTGTCAGAGGGGTTGCCTAAAACCATCAGAAAACACAGTATTTTCTGTTGATCATGGGGGTTCTGTGTGGGAAGTTTGGTCCAATTCTATCATTGGTAAGGTTCAAGGGCTCTTTGATTGTAGGTGAACTATAAATCCCAGCAACTACAACTCCAAAATGTCAAGGTCTATTTTCTCCAAACTCCACCAGTGTTCACATTTGGGCATATTGATATTTGTGCAAAGTTTGGTCCATATCTATCATTGTTTGAGTACACAGTGCTCTCTGGATGTAAGTGAACTACAACTCCAAAGCTAAAGGTCATTGCCCACCAAACCCTTCCAGTATTTTCTATTAGTCATGGGAGTTCTGTGTGCCAAGTTTGGTTCAATTCCACAATTGGTGGAGTTCAGAATGCTCTTTGATTGTAGGTGAACTAGAAACCCCAGCAACTACAACTCCCAAATGACAAAATCAACCTCCCTCCAACCCAAACAGTATTCACATTTGGGCGTATCGGGTATTTCTGCCAAATTTGGTCCACTGAATGAAAATACACCCTGCATATCAAATATTTACATAACGATTTAGAACAGTGGCAAAATTACAGTTATGAAGTAGTAATGAAAATAATTTATGGTTGGGAGTCACCACAACATGAGGAACTGTATTAAGGGGTCGTGGCATTAGGAAGGTTGAGAACCACTACACTACATCAAGCCAAAATTACTAAGGACTCAAGCCTTTGGGGAATCATTTTGTCCAACACTGACTCACCACAAATTTGAGATTGATTGAGAGGATTCACTTGACCTATTTCTAGAGCTGCCCTGCATGCCTTTTATGAAGGTTATGTATGGAACAAGTTCACACATGCACGTTTATTGTGGAAGCCAGCATGGTGTAGTGATTTGAGCATTGGAGTATGATGATCCGTGTGTGAGGAAATACCAAATAGTGCACAACACAAACATGTAAATTAGGTGAATTCTTTTCTTTTCCAGCAAACTTTGGAGATTGATTTCAAAAATGCTTTTATGGTGCTGTACCATTTTTAATCTGTTTCGAAGATTTTTATTGGATTTAATTATGTTATTTATTATTTTTGTATTTTTAATTATATCTGTTTTATTGTATTCTCTGCTTTTTTGTAACCTATCTTGATTCTCAGCTTGGTAGAAAGGTAGAATATAAATAAAGTAGTAGATGGAATCACTTCTCACACTGTATGTTATGGATTATCCTATCTCAGTGTGCAATTAATATCGGTTTGCTGTTAAAGGGCAAGAGGATTTTCAATATGATGAATGCTGAAACCAGAGTGGTACAGTTATCTCTGTAGCAAAAGATGGAACAGATTTCCTGGGCTGGCCTAGTCCATTTTGAAGCCCAAGACAAAGAGAAAGGTGCTTTTCACCACCACTATTTCATGTACAGAAGCCAACTGGACTGGCAGCTGAATCATAGGATTCTTAATAGAAAAGGATCGTCTTCTACACTTGAGGGCAGCACTCCAATGTGTGGGGTATGGGGCAAGCTGTGTGGACCATAAAACTTTCTCCTATAAGGAAATGAAATGGTTGGAGAGCTAAATAGAAAGAAATTGCAGAGCAGTTACCTGAGGAATCTGCCCAAATGGTCAGTCCAGCAGCCTGTTTCCCAGAATTGCTAAATGTTTTTCCTTTCTCCTCTAAGGTGTCAGCCAAGTTTGAGATGAAAATAACAGACTCATCCTACTTCCATTATGAATCCCAGCCAAAGACAATGATTTGAGGTGAGGCCAGGAAAGAAAACATGGATCAAAGGAAAGAACCTCAGGCTGATGAGTCAAGGAGCCTTGAAGCTGTCTTTCTTATTTAGTGTAGAGCCAAGAACTCCAATCTCAGCCCCTAGATCGGTGTTTCTCAACCTGGAGGCTGGGACACCTGGGGGTGTTGCAAGGAGGTTTCTGAGGGGTCACCAAAGGCCATTAGAAAACATCTGAT